GGGGGGGGGGGGTAAGTCGATGGGGAGTATTGGGGCTTCAGTTCTGGAATAGTGAGAATGGTGTGTTTGGACTTAGACCTGTGGTTTGAGATTCAGCTGTGGGACCTTGAGCAAGTCATTGAACTGGATTGATTCTCTAAGTTTGTTTCCTCACTAGAAAAAAAAATACTCAGATAACATCTTGGTGTAGTGGGATTAAATGAGATCGTATCTTCCAAGTGCCATACAAATGAAGAAATTGTAAATCACCTTCAGGGTTCTTTCTTTTCCTAAAGATAACCTCATATTGACCTGGTCTTAGTTTTGTATTCAGACACCAGCCCACAGTGCAAGTTCGCTTGTCACCCCTTCCCTCCAGCTTCCCCCTTTAAGATAAAGTGTTAGAGGGGCAGGGACGGAATATATCCTGGATATGCCATTGCACTGCATATGGAGATGTTATGTAAAACAAAGCCTAGCTACAGCTCCTGCTGCAAGAGTCAGTTGTTGGGGTTGGAACCCTGGCTTCTCTGTCACTTGACTTGGGCAGGTCATTTAACCTCTCTTTTCCTCAGTCTTCACCATCAGTAGAATGGGTATAATAATACTTTCCATCGTATAGGGTGGTAATAAGTAAACAAGGTCATTTTAAATTGTTGAGCCGAGTACCTAGGACAGGGAGGAAACTGCCTTTTCAGTGTGGACTGTCATCATCATAATCATCATTTTCGATTGCGGCAGAATACACATAACGTAAAACTTGCTGCCATAACCATATATTCAAGTGTACGTGTCAGTAGTATTGGGTACATTCACACACTGTGGGCAGCTGATCCTCCTCGATCAGGTAAAACTGAAACTGTATCCACTGAAAGCTCCTGGTTACCCCGCCCCAGGGCCCCTGGCCCCCTTTGCCCTGTGTTTCATGTCTGTGACTGCCCTAGACACCTCCTGTAAGTGGGACCACCTGGTGTTTGTCTTGTTGTGACTATAATTATGCTCAGCCTTGCCCCCTAGAAGTCGCTTGCTCTCTCCTCTTTAGCGTCCTGTAAGCTCGTGGCTGCCTGCTCAGCCCGAGTCAGTAGTGAGTTATTTCCTTTCTGAAGGCAACAGGACACTCAAAGCACCCGTTCATCCTTTGGAAGAGGGCACGTAGGGACATGACCGGGGGGAGGGTGCAGAGTGGAACCTTGGTGGCCCCCTCCCCCCGACTGTGTGACAGTTGAAACATGCACTCCAGTGGAGAAACGAGTGTAACGAACCTCTGTGTGCCTGGCGTCCCATTTACCACTTACCTAGATTTTTGTGTCTCATTTTAAACAAAGTCTGGAGGTGTGGCTTCATTTGGGAGCGGCTTCCCTGCTCTCAGTTGGGGCACCCTGCAGTTGCTATGGGTGTTGGTGATGTTCTTGTCCCAGATCACTCCACTCCATGTGTCTGAAGAGGCCACCTGGTTTACCCTGAGGGTGAGGGGCCCGGCACTGTGGACTAGAGCAGAAGGGACCCGCAGAGGTGGGGTGAAAGCCACGGCCTTGGCTCTGTGCTGTGGGTGCTCATTCTGTTAGAGAGAGATGGGGTCAGGGGGCTAGCGATGTCCCATGGGCGCCCAGTCCATTCATAACCCGGAGCCCCCTGGCCCATCAGCAGGTCACCAGTGGGCTTTCTTTCCACTTGGCTGCCTTTTTGGTGCCTACATCAGAGCACGAGCAGGGGAGAAAGAAATGGAAACTTTTTGGTGCTTTGCGAAAGGCCATCTGGATGGGAGCAGAAATGACTGCCCCCTCCACCTTCCCTGTGGAGGGGACCCCAGACTCCCTCCCAGGGGGCACACCTGCCCCTCAGCCTCTCACCCATACCACGAGGTGGGAGCCTTGGGCCCTCCCTCCGAAAGCCCTTCTGCAGGGGACGTGCGTCTGTCGGTGACGCTGGCGCCCCTCACTCCCCGCGTTCCCTCCTCGCAGTCCTCCGTGTGTGCGAAGATCGTGCAGCTCCTGGGCCAGAACGATGTGGACTACCGCCAGAAGCAGGTGGTCATCCTGAGCCAGGACAGCTTCTACCGGGTCCTCACCTCCGAGCAGAAGGCCAAAGCCCTGAAGGGCCAGTTCAATTTCGATCACCCGGGTGAGTCAGGGAGTCGAGGGTGTAAATTGGTTGATGGAGGAGCTGCTTGACCTCCTGTTTCCTGCCTGGAAATGGAGGCGGAGGGGTGCCTCTCAGGGTTCTGGGGGGCTTCTGTGGAAGCAGTTTTGCAACACAACACGCAGTGCTTGGCTCCCTAGATTCTGGTGGAGTCTGTCCTGAACAAGGGTGATTCTGGGTGAGTGAGCCCGTTGCCCGAGATGGGCCGACCCAGGAGAGACTGTGCACGGCTGGCTGCCGTCTCTGCTCTGAAGCAGCTTGCCTTGCTGTCCCCAGCACCCCACACTGCAGGATCACATGTGGGTGCGAAACTCACTGGCAGAAGGGAGATGGGGGGTCCAGGGTGGCTGCCTGAGCGACTTGCCTAGACGGTGCCAGTCGGCACACTGCCCCTTCAGGCGGGGGTTCTTTAATGGTCAGAACTGCAGCTTGTGGGCACAGTGCCTGCTCTCCTCCCCTCGGGTCCTGGGTAGCTTTCCAGGTTGGCATATGCCCGTTCCCAGGACAGCTGCTGAGCTGAGAGGGAGGAGAGAGCTCCAAGGCCAGGGGAGGACTGTCAAGCAAGAGGAAAAATCCACTTCTCAGAGCTCATTCGCACTCAGGCATGGGGTTTGCATTCTGCTTTGGGCGGAAATCTGTTTTTGGGGGGGCAGTGGGATATGCTTCTCCAGGGTGTGGTGTTCATGTGTGAGGTGCAGGTTTGTAGGAATGCCCTGTGCGTGGGTACAGGAGAAATCACTTAAAAAATGAAGATCGTTTTAACAGTTTGATCTCCTTCAGATGCCTTTGACAATGAACTCATCTTCAAAACTCTCAAAGACATCACTGAAGGGAAAACTGTGCAGATTCCCGTGTACGACTTTGTCTCCCATTCCCGGTGAGTGAGCTGCACCCTGGGTGTCCCCCGCCCCTGGGTTCCCTGCTGCTGTCCTCCCCGCCTGTGCTGCCACCTGTCTGGGAAGGGCGATGACAACAGTCCTTGTGCGCCCTAATGGGAACCGCTCGGACGTGTTTTTCTCTGAAGGCTATGAGGGGTAGCTGGGACTTTCTTCTGTTCCTTCTTTCCTCTGGCCCTTCCTCCTTCCTTCCAGTTGCCCCAGGGCTGGGGGAGGGGCGGGGCTGTTGGGAGGAAACTCAAGCCTGTGTTTGAAAGTTCAGGGATGCCAGGCCCAAGTCCATTCCTGCAGACACCTTTGGAGAAAAGGAGAAATCAGCCTGCTCTTCTCTGTGTCTAGTCTCCATTCAGCAGCAGGTGTTTCTGCCTCGTGGTAAAAGCTCAGACCTGTCAGAAGAGACCTTTTCCACGGTTGTCGCTGCCCTTTGCTGGGTCTCCAGTGGGGTCCGAGGGCTGTGTCAGGCTGTGTTAGCCCTGTGTTAAGCCTGAGGGGGCCACTCCAGGCTCCTCGCCGATGCTCTTGCGCCTGTTCCTCGGTGTCCCAGCCTGCTCAGCCTGTCCCCTGCTCTGTGCTTGCAGGAAGGAGGAGACGGTCACTGTCTACCCCGCGGACGTGGTGCTCTTTGAAGGCATTTTGGCCTTCTACTCTCAGGAGGTGCGAGACTTGTTCCAGATGAAGCTCTTTGTGGACACGGATGCTGACACCCGGCTCTCCCGCAGAGGTGCGTCTGCAAGGCCTCCAGTGGCCCTGCTGGTGGCCTGTGATAGGCCCCTATCCCCCCCCCCCAAGCCCGTGCCTTCCCTGAGGTGGCTCTAGGATGTCTTGCTGCCCAAATGTTTGGTGATATTTGAGAAGGGATTAGTCAGTTACTGTGGTAGTGAAGAGCTTGTGAGCTCAGAGGTAGGTGGGAAATTTATGTTCCCATTTTGCTGGTTGAGTGCCCAGTTTCTTGTGAGACACCACAAGCATCACAGTGGACGGAAGTGAGTGAAGGACACCCGGACGCAGGTGCCTGCAGCACTTGGTGCCTCGCCCAGCCAGCCTCTTGCTCTGGCCCCTTAGTTTCCATCACTGTCTAGCAGCTCCAGAGCAAAGCTGGTTGTTCCTTCTGGGAACTTACTGGGCATCGCCCGGTGTCCTGGAGTCACAGCTGTTCTCGGGCTGGGAGCTAAGTCTGAATTCAGCTCTGGAGGGCTTGGAGCAGAGAGTGCAGGAGGCTGTGTGGAGGAAGAGGTCAGGACTCGGATGTGGTGAGGTGATGACATGGGCAACCACAGAGGTACACAGTGCAAGTGCACACACACATGTGAAGATTGCAACAGGGCTGCCTGAGGTGGTTTCGCTGATCTGGAGGACAGGCAGGGCTGTCATTGTCATCACAGTGGAAGGGGAGTAGGGAGGTGAAGAGAGGTGAGAGAGGGCCCAGCAGAGGCTGTGGCGTGGGGTGACAAGGAGAGGAATGAAGGCTGACTCACGCTTTCATGGAGACGGAAAGAGGCAAGGCTGGCCCTGGTCACAGAGCAGTCATTGGTGGATCAGGTTTGCTGAGTTCCAGCCCAGAGCCTTCTGACCTCAGCATCTGGGAAATGTGCCCAGTTTGTGAAACAGATTTGCAGCTGTTTCAGTTCTGTGGCCTCATTGTAAGAGCTGCACATGGAACCAACACAACGTGCAGAAACCGGTCCCGGGTTCTGCCTTCCAAGTAGGAACAGGAACCACGCTGCTGGCTGGGGCGTGACTTCTGCTCTGGGGCGGGCGCAGGCGGGTAGAGCTCTGTGATGGGCCTGGATTCAGTCCTAGTAGAGCTCCAGCTGGCTTTGAGATGTTGGTGGCTCTCCTGACCTCCCAGGTTTGGATTTCTTTATGGGTAACTGGGATACAGGCCTGGGTTTTAGGGTCATTACTCTGGCTAGGTAGGAGTTGCATGGCCTTTCATGCTGGATAGTTAAGGCCCGAGCATGACTGTTCCTCACACATCTGCCTCAGGGCCTGGCTTATCCCCTAAACCACAAACCCCGTCCCACCTGAGCTGGTCTGCCCTGGGTCCACGTTAAGTACATTAGGGGGACAGCATTAGGGGGGCACAAGGGGAAAGACACGAGTCTTGTGAACTGATGTGAGTCCCGGTCACCGTTTAGTGGCTGGGTAACCTTGGGCACACTGTGTTAACCTCTTCATGCCTATTCTATTGATTACCTGATGAGTTGTGACATTGGAGATGAGGCAGGTATTATGAGTGGCGGGGCACCAATCAATCAATATTGGTGTGTAGATTGGAAATCCATGAGTTGGTGACACCAGCAGGTGGTGTGGAAGTGCTGGAATGTGTGTGCGCGCGCAAGAGAGACAGAGACAGAGGCACCACCCAGGAAGTTAGCTCCAGGTTCTGCGTCCTGGCCTTATCCTTGGAATCCAGCAAACGTGAGCCTCTCGCTCAAGCAGATACCAGGGTGGAGATGGAACAGAAAACCCTCCTTCCCTTGTCCTGGTGCTTCTGTGAAATGGGGGGGAGACGGGATGGCAGCCCCCTGGGGGTTCCGTAGGCTGAGCTCTGCAGTTCCACCTTCCCGATGCTCCAGGGAAGGTGCTGCGTCTCCCTGCGGATCTGTTGGTGAGTCACTTCCCTGGTGGACTTCCCCACATGCTGTTTCTACAGATTCCTTCTCCATCTAAGCGGGACAAAGGGCATGCCTGGCATGTGCTTGGGGGGGGGGG